TCGAATTTCTATTCACTTTCTAGTTTCGGCTATACATATTGTGCTCCAGATCGTTGGTCTGCTTGCGCCGTTCATCAATCATCGGGGTTACCGGGTCAAATTAGCTTACTGACTAAATTTTCGTCTTTCGAACCGGATTAAGCGACTAATTGACGGCCTCCTGAGAATTGTGTTTTACCGTAGTTCAGGTTCAACATTCTTGCTTTATATACTGGGGATTTCTTGATGTACTCAAGCCAAGTCGGCACGTAATCAATCGCATTTAAACTAATGGTCACCCCACTTTTAAGCCCTTGCTATTTTAGTTTGATTTTTTCCACTACATATTTGTGATCCGTTTTCTTTAAGAGTTCAAAAACATAATTTTCGTGCTTGTGCTATGTTAGATCTCGTTTCCTACACTGATATTTCAGAAAATTTTGTTGGTCACTCGCTGCTTACCTCTAAGTTATCTAATCCACATATGTGGATTTCACAATTTAAATCTTATTTTGCATCTGTCGCATTACTTTGTTGTCTTTAACAATCACACAAGTCATTGCTCAGCTTCTTACTCACATCGCAACTGGCAGTATGGTTTTTCTTGCTCCGATCCCGGCTGATGCGCTTTAGGCTGAAAGACGCTGTTTTCGTGCGCACCACGGCTTTAGACGAAGCTTGACTTTTACAGTTAATCTCCGGTGTTGTATTAAACGAACGCTCGCCGTCACAACTCCTCTGACACATGCATACGTTGGTCGGTTCCACTAAGATCGAGGACACCATCCTGCGACAGCTGTGGACAAATTGTCTGCTATGGAATACCACAGCTCTTCTAACTGTATTCTCAGATGAGCTTTTTCTAACAAGCGGGCCGTGGGCGCCAATAAAGTTCATACTTGTTTTATAAAATCAAGACATGCCACTCTGTTGAGCCTATCGCTAACATCGATCATAACAATGACCCTATTTAGTCGATTTCCAAGAGCTTATCAAAGCTGGCGCTAATTGTCTTGAGCTTTAATCGCTACCGTGGTAGAAGCTCTTGTTGCTTCCTACATAGCAGACGTAGTCCCGCCAGGCCTTTGGCACACCGTTTCTGTTGGTATCATCACGGTTTTGGAGCTGATGCAGGAAACTGTTGACCTGTATGTAAGTAATCGAAAGCATAGTACAGACGGCAGCAGGGAAGCCTCCACGTCAGCCAGTGCTGGTGGCGGCTGCGACTGGCCACTCTTATAGTCGCTTATTTTACGTCTACTATGTTCCAACTAATTTGTACTTTATGGTTGACATATGTGCTGAGGTTGGAGTTATTCCTCGTGCTGCAGAAAAAGGCAACCGACTTCCAATTGGGCTGACATTGTAGGTGGCTAACAATACGGCGATCCATATGTACGGCTAGAAAATGCGCACTTTCAACCTTGGTCTCTTTTGAAGTGTTATTGTTTTTCTCATCGTTGATGTCTAACACCCTATGCTTGGGGTCAAGTTTCTCACCAAGTTTGGCCTCGTTATGAACCTGCATAACCGTAAAATGTACGATAGTTTAGAATCCTTCTCCGTTTTAGGTGAAGTCACTTTGATCAGCTCGACCGGTCTTTGTTCTTCAGTATTCGCTAACCATGTAGTTACGAAACTACTTCTGCACATAAGTATGCATTGCATCTTAACAAATGGGCCCTCAGTAACCACGCGACCACGATGACTACCTTTTGACAAACCTACTACTGCCAAGGCCGAGTTTGTACATGTGCTTGGTATCAGCTTTGTTGGTTCTGCTAGTTGCCCATGTTCCTGCGCTCTTCAAATGGTTCCCAAAATATCCAGTGGTGACTGGAGACCTTGGGTAGATTAGCGAGTAATGAATATTGTCACTATCCTCGGCAGATATCTGATTCCGCATCTCCCTGATTTCTAACTTGTCTAGATGGAAAACAATTTTCTTCAAGCTAACCTTAGCGCGTCAATACTATCAAATTCCGCTTGCCTCCGAAGCTATTCAGAAGGGCACCATAACCACATTATGCAGTCTTTATGAATTCTCTCGAGTGCCATTTGGTTTACAAAATGCAGCGCAGACTTTTCAAGAGTTCATCGTTTAAGTCCTTAGAGGACTAAACTTCGTATTCGCCCACAGTGACGATATACTTGTAGCCTGTACCAATCATGATGCGCACCTGTCACACGTTTGACCGTTTTTCAAACGCGTCGCTCAGTACGGCGTTACAACCAAACGTTAACAATTGTGTGTTTGACTAAAAGTTGGTTGATTTTTGGCCACCGAAATAAGTAAAACGGCTTTTGTCTACACTTTGGTAAAACACAAGCGATGGGAGATTATCCCGTGCCGCAATTTTTGGAAGGTTTCTGCCGTTTTTGCTGCACTTTGAATTACTACAGCCGTTTCTAACCAGATTTCTCTGATGTACTCCAACCATTGACTGAGTTACTTGAATGCAGGTCACAAAATGCTAGCCCACTCAGAAATTTATCTTTGCATTTGACAAGAGTAAACACATGTTGTCCAACGCTACCGCGTTTATTCCCTTGGGGACTAATGCTTACACAACTTATCCTTTAGACTTATGCACAACAAACCACTGTTGAGGCTGTACTCTAGCAGATAATTAATGGACATCGAGCGCTTCGATCCTCTAGCTCTCACAAACTTCAGTCCGCACAGACCAGCTACAGCACCTTTGGGCGATAACTGTTTACTATCTACCTTGCCATCAAACATTTTTGGCACTTGCTTGAGTGTCGCACAATTTCCATTCTAATCAATCATAAAACACTTGCTTTTGCTTTCTGTGGTTCATCTGGCTGTTTCCCTTTCAGAGAAATCCGACATTTGGATTTTATCACACTGTTTTCGACCAATATTTGCCACGTTAGTGCCGTCAAAAACGTCGTATCTGTCTACATGAAGTTTCAGTGCAGACGACCAAGTTAGTAAACATAGCATCTCATCAGGAAGGAGATCCTGCAAATGTGCAGTTGCGATCAAATGCATCAATCAAACTAACAAAACTAACAGTTTTTACAACAGACTTCAAAATTTACTGTAAGATTTTTAGCAACAAGCCCCGGACCTGTATTCCTCTGCCGTACCGCCAAATTGTCTGTATTTAGAAGCACATTTAACTACCAGCATGGAATCACACACGAGCATCCGAGCACCGTCAAAATGAGTGCTGCCCACTTCATTGGGTGCAACCTTCGATCCAAGATACAGCAGTAAGCCAAAGACTGTAATCCTTGCCAAAACACCAAGATCCATCGTCGCAAGATTACCATTCCCGGCAAGTTTGTGCTCCTTGCCGTCCGTTTCAAACATGTTAATCTTTAGATCGCTGGATCACCTGCCTCCATACAACGGTTTTCTTTACTTATTGACAAGCATTTATCGTTATACGCCTTTTCCACTTGCTGTGCTTTTGTGCGACGCTCTTGCTGAAACTGTGGGGCCAACATTCATTGGAATTAAGTTCCGTCCTTAGTAAGCCAGCCACTGGTACTACCGATAGAGGACACAAATTCAAGTTGGTCTTGTTTCTTGACTTGAACCGCCTTCACGGATTTCCCACCTACGAACAACCATTAATTACTTAAATGCTAATGGCATCGTTGAACATTTTCATTACTAACTTAAGGTCACGGTTAATGCTTCGCAGTTGAATTCACAATGGACAGGCGGTCCACAAATGATCGTTCTTTGTATTTGTAACACCCTTAACGAGGACAATGGCGGTTGCCCTGCTTAGTTCTTCTTTGGCAATTACGCTACCACCCCCGGAGAAATGGTGTTTGAACCAAGAATAACGGAAATGATTGATCCAACCTCGTTTGTCACACGTCTGTGACAAAAATCAGCTCAGTTCGTCCAACCTCAACTCAAATAGCCCTCGGAGACAACAGGTACACCCGGATTTGCGCATTTGCCCCTGTATTTGCGTGCAAGTTGATCCCGTCCGTAAGCCACTAGCACCGACTTACGAGGGCACATTTAAGATGGTTGCACGGAAGGATAAGTGCTCTATGATAAGAGAAATAGTTACCGGGATACTGTGAGTATTGAACGTCAGAAGACAGTCTACATAGAGACGCGACCACTACTGAAACTCACGGACATGCGTGTCCCAAACCAGCCCACCTTCTAAATTACTCCTCTTAGTCAGCATACGTGCGACACCTCTGGTACCTCACCTGCACTGCAAGCGCCTTGCGACAAAAACTTTAGCTTGCAACACCGAACACACTTCGAACGTACAGTTGTTCTCCCTTACAGAGAGGAGATCATTCCAACAGAGCATTTCTCTAGCTGACTCAGGCTTTAGGAGGAGCACTGTAGTGATTTTACGTTTCTATCTTTTGCGCTGCACATTCCTAGTCCCCTTTCCATCATTTATTGTGCTGGTTTGTTTTAACTAAACAAAAGCTGAAAAAACACGTCTTCGAATTCCCATTCACCTTCTTGTTTCGGCTATGCGTGTTGCGCTCCAGATCGTGGGTCTGCTTGCGCCGTTCATCGGTCATCAGAGTTACCGGGTTAAATTAGTCTACTGACTACATTTTCGTCTTCCGAGCCGGATGATGCGAGTAATTGACGGCCTCCTGAGGATTATGGTTTACCGTAGTTCAAGCCCACATTTCTGACTAAATACTGGGAGTGCTTTTATGTAGTCAAACCATTTCAGCTCGGTGATTACCCTAAAATTCTCTCCTTGCTATATTACTGAGTTCGAGGAAAGGTAACAATATATTGTTTTGTCTAGTGCCTCTGAACTTGCTGGTTGTCATTGATGATCAATAAAGTCAATTTAATTGCTTCCAGTGCGCAATTTTTCCTAAGCTTTTCTTACCTGAATTTTATAACCTTTGTCATAAAAAGTAATGGATTTTGTCCGGAATATTTGACTTTACACTCGTAAGACGGCTTATTTCATACTATCAAAATTTTTGGCCTTCCTGTGGGCAGTCATAATCTACTCAAGGAACAATAACTCAAATGATGAATTAGGTATTCAGCTAGTATATATATTTGATTTCCAGTTGAATCCACTTGGTCGGATCATTGAAATAAACTGTAAAAAATAAAAAGGAACTGATGAAAATAATTAATGTGTTTTATCATAAGTATCCTTTCCTTTGTATCCGGACACGTATCCCGCAGCCGCCTTGTCATCCATGACATATTCTCTTCCTTCGATTCCTTTACCCTTCCCAGTTTCTAGATCAAAACGTTCTCTGTGTGCACCGGTGTAGCCTTTGACATCAGTAAGTCGTGCGGTAGCAGCATCACTGCTGACTTGCGTTGCTCCATGTGCTTTTGGGTTTCCTTTCATTATTTTCTCTTTTATTTCAGCAACCGCTGCTTCTAAGCTAATATTCTTTGAAGCAGCATAGGCTTCCCCAAGAGCACCTTCAATAAATCGCAAAAAGCTACTGAAGTCAACATCCAGTTTCTGATTTCCCACGTGTTTACGGAAAGCAATATCCACTGAATTAGCGTTAAGAACTTTGTTGTAAATTTGACAGTCGGTACATATTTTTTTCAAGGTTTTATCGGTGCATGTTTTTGAGCCCTTCTTAGCTGCATCACAAAATGCGAGGAAAATTTCTTCCATATTCTCTAAAAAACGATCTACCGCCAGAACTCTCGCGCGCAGTAACTAAGCTCAACACTCAAATAGGTACACGGTTGTTCAGAAGTAATCAAATAAACAACTTAACAAATAAAACACAACCCGAATGGATATATTGCGATAAACTGTTTTTTAGTCCAGGCAGTTAAACATACACCGCAAAAAATATATATTTTATAATTCCGATTTGGTCACTGCCATTCCTGAGGTTCATTTTAACTATACGTGTTCTTTATTACTCAGTTGCGAGACTTTGCAATCTTAAGTACAGTATATTTGTGTGATAATTCCTGTCGGCGCAAAGATTTTCCTTTGCGTCTTGCTACTCTGTATTTGTCCTAGGTTCATTTTAATGTGTTTTACTACCGATTATGTCATCTATTTTCATACTTATGGTGGGATTTGGGCGTTGCATTGCAATGCGTTAACGCAGGAGCTGCTGCTGCCCGCATCGTCAATACCGTGAGTTTGATCCAGCATATTTGTGCGTGCTGGATTAACTGGTGTTTTAATATTGTGCATTTTGTGTGATCCAATTAAAATAAGGTTTCTTGTTTTATAAACACAACATAGAAGTTACCATTTAGTAACGGTATCTGGGTATCTGTCATTGATTAAGCGGAAGTCTCTCTATGTAGAAGGTATAGTTAAGGAGCTGAATTCGAAAAGGTTATTTTATGTGATAGGTGCATCTTATGTTACCTCGAAGCTTTCTCGCGGTTGGAAGTAAAGTCAACTGATGTATATCTACTTCATAATATCGGGAAATGTATCTGTGTCCATAGGAGGTATCAGAAGGACATCTTCTCACGTTCGCTTGGTGAGGAAATTCCAGTCCAGGCTCGCTATTTCATTGATTGGCACTGAATGGTTCTAGGAACACCGACCTAGACTTAAAACGACAGAGAAGCCGATCGGCGAACCCCAAGAGAAAAACTTGACGACGGAGATTTTCCTGCCGAGCATAATGTGCGTACTACTGCAGTTGTTATCAGCAGGCTGCTGTATGTGCTTAGTTACAAACGGGGTGCTCCGGAACTGTGTGAGGTTAGGGCTAACTTTGCTTTGGAATAAAATGTTGTTCTTGATATACTCGGTTTTGTTGGCGTATCACCACAGCACTGCATTAATAGTGGCCATCGGGTTAGCAGTTGAAAGAACATAAACCTTTTGTAACGGATAGTTCTTCGCAGGCCGACTGTAGCAGTGCTGGATCTTCGGGAGCTACACAAAAACTAACTTGTATGCAAGTTTCGAATATACGTCGAAAAGACACATCAGCTTAGATTCTTTCCTGGTAAGAATGCAGGCTGCATGCGAACGGTTGCATAGGGCTGATGCCGCCATTCCAGTGGTATAAGAAAGTGGTGCACAGCATCAACGATTAGTCCAGCTAAAAGGCTTAAAGATCCCTCTCTGACAACGACACTGGAGTATAACTTTGCCGCAACCAGGAGCAATTGCGGGAGCTATGGTTAAGGAGGTTAAGGTACTGCGGCGAGGATTGAAAGGAAAAATTAAAACTGGAGTCACCATAATAGCCAGGGTAGATGACGCAAACGTGAATGCAACCTACAGCGTTTTACAAGTGCTTGCAACATCTCCGCGGACTCAAATCGTATTGCTAGTTAACTCTGGAAATTGCGACATACAGCAAGCAATTCCCAAAGGTTCTACTCCAGAAAAGGAAGTGTGCAGGAACCATGCCGCACAGAAGGCAATTGCGACAAGCATCACAAAACGTCTGGTGAACAACCCCTTGTAGTTTAAAAAGAAGTAGGGGAAGTAATATTAAGTTGCGGTGCCATTTATGGAGCTGTGATTACAGTGAGACGTCTTTTGTTACTTGGCTCATTTAACGTTTGTCTCCTAACCAAATTCTCGAGGTAATAAAAGGCCGTTCTGTGTGTGAAGTTGTGGGTGGGGTGCTTTTGCATATACGCTGTCACTATAGTCATTCAGAACCTGCCTTCCTCATATGCACAACTAGTGTTAATCACTTTTATTTTCTGAGAGTAGAGGATAAAGTTGGATCAAATGTACTTTGCTGCAGATACACAGCTCACATAAAAGACAATAAGCTTAGTGAGTTTAGTAAAAAGCCAAGAAGTTAACAACAACCTTTGTGTAAACGGCCTGTACTTAATGCACGCAGACCGGATGTATGTCAGCAATAGAGCGGTTTTTTGGAGTGGACTCGGTGCAGTGTATACAATAATATGCCTTCGTGAATCGGGTCAATTTTCTGACATAAAGGAAAAAGTGAAGACCTGGCGGCTACGTTCCTTCTGCTTTGAACGTGGTGCGCATTAAACGTGGTCACTAGTCAACTACTAAAATGAATGACCTCACAGGCAATTAAGATCACGTTTTCTTTTTTCATTTAGTTGCAGATAATACTGGTCAAACCACAGTTGAAGAGAAAGCTAAGTTGGATCAATACCACGCATTGGAGGGACAAAGCGATGCGTACTACTTGTGCGCATCTACCGGATGAGGTATCACTGCAGCGGAGGTGACAAGTGAACAATACACGCTCACGCAGCAGCTAGAGGTGCATGCTCACCTACGCAGAATGCGCCACACAGAAAAGCGCTGTTGGTAAGCCAATGAATCAATAGAGCATTCCAGGGTTGTACTGCTTTATGGATTAATTTTCTTGGACCTTGTGGATTCCATAGGCGTGGAGCTTGGATGTATGTAGAAAACTGGTCGCTTACTTGTAGGGTGTACACATATACTAGTACGGGCTGTCGGGTATTGTAATGCTGGATATAACATACTAATACAACTACGAGCAGTCGAATTTCTTCTTAAGCGAAGTCATCGGCCGTTTAATCACAGATGTAAGTTGTTTTACCACAGACCTAGATACTTCGCTTGTTGCTATGTTTTCAGTAACTTTCGGCATGATGTGGGTAAGCAATACCTTAACAGACAAAATGCGCAAGCGCGGAAGAGTGGTTATATTTTATAATTTATCCTACCTGCCTTCTTTCCTGAAGGACCTAAACCCCCTTCAAAGCAACTGGCACTGATAAATAAATACATATACGGTTATCGATTAAGGGTGTCAGACCATTTGGGCATGCTCAGCGTAATGCAAGGGTGTACACACCAGCGTAACCGGCAGATCCAAAAGCAGCAATAACACAGCTGTAACTTGTGTGGTCCCATACGTTCTAAAAACTTAGAGTGGGTGTTCTCGGGATGTCGAGGCACTAATAGGCAGGCAGGACCCACAGTACACCGGCAAAATGGTTCGCAGTAAAATAATGTAAGGTAAAAATGGGACACACAACGATCGCTGGAGTGGAGAGGGTGCTTGTGGGGAACTGTACAACTGGCGTTGTGTTCAAAGCTTGGAACAATTGAGTGCTGCATGAGAACCAAATCTGTAAAAGGGTTTTAACTGTGGTGGTATGTCCCTTTACAAACTTAAACGAGTAGAAGGTTTAGAGCCATTATATGCATATAAGTTGCAAAATGTCTCGGCGGTAAATTTGCCAATGCGTGGCAGGGTGCGCGACTTTAGTTGGTGGGTAGTCACGTCCGCCACTTCCTAGTGTTGCTACACTGACATTTGTGGCATTTGTAAACAGTAGGTTAGCCAGGCAATGCCAACCACGTCCTGAAGTACTGCCGACGGCCCCAGTTTGACCGGTGCTATGGCATGGCCGAGGTTGCCATATGTCTGATTGTTCCCGCGGTTAGTCGCAGTCATGTTTCGCTAACTTTTTTCCGTCGCTTCGTCGGTGTCTAATTTGGTTGTTCGGAGTTGCCGACTTTGGACGACTTGGGTGACTAGTACTTGGTAAATGTACTTTCCGGATGCCCTTGGCTATAGTTTGCATTCAGATATTACTAAACCGCTTTCCGATATTGTCCGGTTACCAGCGCTTGAGTTGTACAACCTGTCTTTTTCTGAGGAAATGATACTGCAAAATTGGAATGAGACAGTTGTAGAGGTAAACAATAACAGGGTGTCCTATACCCCCACCCAATAAGTACAGACCTGTTACCCGAACCAGCGTACTTCTGAAGTGCCTGTAATACCGTAGTAATGGTCGAAACAGTTAAACTTTACTGTCTACAAAATGATCGGAGCGAAACAACATGGCTTAAGTAAATAAATATTTTAGTTTCGACAAAGCGAAACACACCCTTTGGGCCTGATCAGCATTGTGCAATATTGTACTTGCTAGCATGCTTTGCAGGACCAAGGGCGGAAGTAGTAGGGATGTAGTCAGTAGTGTGGACCACATGACCAAAATATTGGTTGTAGCATTTCCTCATGTACTGAGAGATGCAGAGATAAGTATTAGATAATTTATGTGGTGTACGTTGGTGGGGAACTAGTCCGATGAGGTAGTATACACTGTGCGGGTCAGAGGAGTGCAGCAAGAGGAAAAAGTTGAGAAAATATTCCAAGAATAGTGGTGGGTCACTGAGCAGGTATTTAGACGTAGTCGTACGAGAGCAGTTTCATGCACAGAAATTGTGAACTGTGATATCGGTCAACCTGACAGTGCGTGGTTGAGGCAGTGACTTTATTGAGTGGCGAGGCAAGTCCGCCACATCCCAGTGTAGTTAAACTGCCAATTGTGGATTTCATCACGTCATACAAGTTCCCTGCGTTATCGACGAAACAGCTCTATGCTATAAGGAAGGGAAAACTGCGGAATCGTCTCTAGTCTGAGTCACACCAGCGACGTGATGTAAAGAACGGGCTTGCAAACCATGTATACTAAACAGAATTACATAAATTTTAATGTATCGTAGGCACCGTTGCGCCCCACCAGTCCGTGTTTGTGCTCCTTGATGCTTTGTTGTCTTTCTGGTTGGCTGCCTGTTGTCCGTTGCCCGTTTTCTCCCGAGATTTCCACAGATATATCCGCCAAAACAAGAGGGTTTATCCACTGGGACTGGTCGACCCACCCTCAATAGCCAGCTGGTTTACATGCTTGATCTTTTCTCCGGGAGATGAAGCATCCACACATCGTTTCACATGGAGCTCTTTCCGCCCCTCTGGAGAAGCTACCACCACGGGGTCTAAACAAATGGGT